ATAGATAGATAGGGCTGAAGCCTTTTAAGCCCCCTATTTCCTGAACGAGGAGGAGGAGGAGGGCACAACCAAACTTGCAAGATTCTGTTATGCTAGCCAATCTCAATAAAAATAATTTTAGTCAATTATGGAATTCATTTCCTGGTCCAGTCTACCTAGTGGGGATGACATAGATAATCTACAGGGTCTCAACTTATGACCACAATTGAGCCCAAAATTTTTGTTGCTAAGATAGTGGTTAAATGAGCCTTTTCCCATTTTATGTCCTTTCTTGCCACAGTTATTAAATGAACCACTACAGTTGTCAATTTAGGAACATGGTTGCTAAGTGAATCTGGCTTCCCCATTGACTTTACTTATCAGAAGGCTGCAGAAGAGGATCACACGGCCCTGGGACACTGCAACTGTCGTAAATATCAACTCGTTTCCAAACATCTAAATTTTGATCATGTGGCCAGAGGGATGCTGCAATGGTTGCAAATGTGAGAAATGTTCATGTCACTTTTTTCAGTGCTGCCCTAACCCCTAACAGTCACTAAATGAATGGTTGTAAGTCAAGGACTATCATGGCGGTGTAGTGGTTAGAATGCAATATTGCAAAGCTAATTCTGCCGACTGTCAGGAGTTTGATCCTTAAGGTTGACTCAGCCTTCCATCCTTCCAAGGTGGGTAAAATGAGGACCCAGATTTTGGGGGGCAATATACTGACTCTGTAAATCATCCAGAGAGGGCTGTAAAACACTGTGAAGCAGCATATAAGTCTATGTGTTATTGCTATATGTTTTTTTATTTATTAATGAGATTGTTATCCTGCCTTTATTATTTTATAAGAACTCAAGGCAGTGCTCATAGCTAATACTCCTTCCTCCTCCTCTCTTCTTCACAATAACAACCCTGTAAGGTGAGTTGGGCTGAGAGGGAATGTCTGGCCCAAGTCTTCTTATAAAGTGTTCTTTGTATTGAAGATATATTTTTAACTCTATGATGTAGATTTTCTTACTTCAGAAAACTCTGAACTCTTCCAACTTTGCACTGTATTTCATTCAAATCTGCCTTGCATTGGGCATATACATTTTTTAAAGAGCCAAAGTGACTTTATTATCTGAGGATTGACTCCTAAAGGTTCCTAGCTAGCCCTTTGCTTATTGAACTCTATCAGATGTTTATCTCATCTATTGTATTGTTAATGATGCCCTAAAAGCATTATAGACATTTTTATAAAGTTCTGCATTGATTTCTTAATGAACTACTTGGCTAAAGGCATGTTATTGTATCCAAAGAGTTTTGTGGTATTCCTATAAATAAATATAATAAGTATTCCCTGAATTCTCAGCCTTTAGCAATCATTAAAGGACTTCATATTCTATAAAAATCAATTATCTCTATGTCAGTTACACAGAAACACAATATATTAGATAATAATGCAATAAACCCTCTTTGTAGAAGTAGGTATTTTAATATTAAGTTACAATTCTAATAACAGAATTGGTGGAAATAGTATTTAACATTAATTTCCCCACCCACATAGCATTCAAGAGATTTCTGCACCATTTTACAAGAGTTTATATAATTTCTTTTATAGGAATTAATAGTATTATAATTATAAGTCTTGTATAGACAAATTGAAATTTGTTTTTTTTTCTCTTGATGTGTCATTTACATCGTAATGAAGTGACAGATGACAGCTGTGATTATGTTTTTTTAGAATTTTTGATGAAGCCTATAATAATAATACCTTAGTGATTAGCCATAAGAATCTATCCAAATATGAAATACAAATGAACAATAAGAAAGACATAGATTGACACTCAATCAACCATCAAGAAGTAAACAATATCCCATCAAGGAACTAGCAACCAGACATACAAGCTAACGGTAAACAATAGCCTAATCAAGGAATCACCAAAACCACTCCAACCAACACTGACAGGGCAAGCCACTAGCATATAAAAAATAAAACCCCACTCCTTGTAGTACTGATGATGTTACCTAGTTTGATAATGAAATGTCTGCAAGAAAACAACTAATCTCAGAAAGCACCAAGGACTCCTCATTTTAGTCTTAAACTACAAATATTCTCTTTGATTGATACAATATATATTATGTATAACAAAAAAAAATTTGTAATATTTCTCTATCACCCTACAATTTACCCCAATCAGATCCATATATGCAGTTCTCATTTGTACTGTTCTGTTCAGATGAAGGGCTCTGCTATATGTAATATTTGGTTTTTGACCGCACATAAAATATGATGTTTTAATGTATGAATCCCAACAGCCATTTCTCTGATGTGTGACCCAAGGTATCAAGCTCTCTTTCTTATACAGTTGGCATTCAAATAATATATAAGCTGAATCTCCACAAATATATAAACATTCTCATAAGAAACTTGTTTAAGCCTTTCATATTCCATTATGTCCTGCTGCTCAAATCAAGCTTGAATAATACCCCATAAGATGGTGGAGCATTTCTGTATTTATATATTATAATCCATTTTAGTGTGAGAGCCTTATTAGCCATATTTCTACAATTAAGTAGAATTAGTTCATCTAGTCGCCATACCTGAACTGGTTAACACGGAAGGGCTGACATCTTTCATCCATAGCATAAAAAATGTTAGCAATCAGCAAAAAAGTAAGGACAGTATAATATGATAAATGAAAGAAAATATAATGATGTAGAATTGGAGATAGATATATATATATAATTGATGTAGAATTCATAAAACATAAAATGAAGAAAGAGGTAAAATGAAGTAAGAAGCCTCAAAAGCCTAACCTAATAACATTGATTTTAGGTAACATCTGGGCGGGGGCGGGGATTCTTTCATGGGAAGAATTCAAATGTGCAAATTTTACCCTTTTAATCTGAATGGTATAATCCAGGAGGAGTGATGTCATCATTCCAATGTGTGTCTCTGTATTTAATAAGAGAAATTCACATTTTTTCTTAGTACTTATTAATTTGTTAGATTTATATTCTGCTTTTTCAATCCCACACTCTAGATCGCCTATTTACCCTACAACAGTCCCTTTGTGGGGTGGATAAATCCTGAGAGAGAGTGACTGGCCCAGAATCACCCGTAGTTTTCCCATGGCTTAGAGTGGACTAGCACTTCCTCATACAAGTTCAGCACCTTAATTCCTATAATTAGGCTGACTCTCTCCAACTGCTTAGACATATTACATATTAAATATTATTTAATATGCAGCAGTACAGCTGCTGATTATTTTGGAAAATAATTGAACACATTAAGTTGCTCAACTTAAGTTGAGGTTACATATGGTTTCTTTCTGGGATATAAATCTGCTGAAGAGGACAGTATTTGGCAGCACTGATGAAATTAATTTTTCTATCTTAGCTAGTACCTTCATTGTGATAAATACATTTCTGTATATGAATTGTATAACTACTCTGATATGTATGTTCCGCTTCTCTCCTTTTATTTGATAAAACCATAAAAATCTTCCAAGCTTGTGCTGTACACTTTGCTTTATTATTATGCAAAAAATATGTGGTGCTTTTATATAGCATTTGTTCTTTTTTGCATTTCTCTTCAAATAAACATCTTTTTTGCATTCTGTTCTGTGGTGGATTTTGATCAACTACAAGAATCTGTAAAAGCATCTGTAATTCTCATAGGTCTGAGCTTTAGGTTTTTTTTCACCATGCAAGAGTGCCATCATAAATAAAAAATACAGGTCTAGCTTAAAATAAATAATGTATTTATTTGTTATAACAGCAGTTACTGCAGTAACAGAAAGACAGGGCTTGCTTAGTTGCTAGAGTTTGGGAATAA